TTAAAGCATCAAGATGTTAAAAACGTATTGAAAGCACTAAAAAAAAAAATAGTTCTTAGCTTCTTATTCAAGTTTATTTTTTGCGTTAATTAACAGACAACTCATGATGATGATGATGATTAACAAATTGAAAATACCAAAAAGATATTTAAGTAAACGTTACTTGTAAGGCGACATATTAACATTTTTTATTGAGTAAAATTAGCATTTTTTATTCCATATCCGTTTCACACTAATCCATAATTCCAGTAGCGAAGCGACGAGTGGCGACTTGAAGATGTAATCAGAGATCGTAAATGAGATTGCCGCATTGGTTAAAATAAAAAGTAAAAGATCGACATTGTTGTCAGGTCAATACAAGTCACAAAGTGTAAATAACGTCCAAGTTCTTTACTTGCTCTGGAAGATTACCAACTGTCGCGTATCGTGTAAATGATCATCGCGCTTTCAGCAGGCGGATCGGATGTAAGATGTAAGCAAGTGTAAACGTGTAATATAACCTGGAGAAGTTCTCTTCCTCGCTGGCTCACTCACGTCGCGGTTACAAGTACTGGGCAAAACTAACGACGCTCTTTGAATAATGCATCTGATCGAACAAGTTCACGATCTCTGCCCAGATCTCACTTACTTACGTTTAATTTTAACTTACTTTTACGCTTTTAATCCTTTTTGCCGGTATAATTATCTATATTAGTCCTTGTTCTGTCACTCAAGTTGTCTTATCTAGCCTCATCCTCTCAACACTGGATGTTGCTATTTTTTATTGGGTTGATTTTTTAAGGGACGTTTTTTAGCTCTTGTTATCGAATGATCCTGAGAAATAAGCAATTAAGTCAGAGGACTGAAAAAGGATACGCCAGAGCGACAGTGTGAGCGGAGACGTGCGGCCATTAAAGGCAGCCGCTACTTTTTCTTGGCGTTGCTAATGGCACTGCCCGATGAGGTCATCCTGTATCCCGTCAGTTAGACAGCTCTAGCTAGCAAGCTTCAACTCTCATCTCTTTCCTCAATATATTTTATCTTTAATTTGCAAATTTGAACTAAACCTACAGTCCCGATATTTTGAGATATATTTAGATAGTCATATTTTATTTTTAATAACACTAGTCGTCAACCAACTTTATTTTTCTTCTGACAAATTTAATCACGTGTTCACACAGAAATAACTGTTATTTAGATTTTAATGAGAGCTAAATAATATTGTAATTTACTTTACATTTAATGGTTGTCATTGATAGTTAGGCTTATGTAAATTATTTTTTTACTGGTTCAATATGGACCTAAGTCGTTTTTTTTTAATTTTATTTATTTTTATTAATATTCTTTAAAAATAATTTAGTGTGATAAATTAATGTAAAATTTAGATCAAAATTATACGAAAAAGATTACGGGTCCAGTTTTTATCTTTCAGAGGTGGTAGCTAACGCATCATTCAAATAGATGTTGTAAACTGAAAAAAAATAAGATTTCTAGCTTATTAAATGTTAAATTTGTCTATTCTACTCTTTCTATTTTATTTATATAAAATTATTTTTCAGTTTACATGTGTGGGTGCAAAGTGTAATGAATAATATTTTTTTTTTAAATTAAAGTACGGATAAATATGTTACTAGTTTCGTAAAAAAATCCACTTTGTAAAAAAACTGTTTAAAAAATTATAAATTTTTAATTTTCTGAACTAAAAAAAATTTTTTTTTAATTGAAAAATTTTTATATCTGAAAATTCTAATTTTGATAAACTTTAAAAAATCAAAAATGATTGTTTGAATTATTTTAGTAAAGTTGATTTTTACAGTTTAAAATATATAAAGCTACACAAAAAAAAAAATAAACTTCTTGCACCAAGAAAATTTTAAGGAAAACAAAAGTTATTTAGGAGCAAGAAGACATTTTCTTGGCTCAAAAAACTTTGATTTAATTTAAGAAATTTTCAACCTTAATATTTTTTTGAACCAAGAAAATTTACACTCCTGTCAAGAATTTTGTTTTTCACTGTTCGATTCAAAACAATTATAATAATTTTTTTAAATCAATCTATCGTAAATAAAAGTTTCTTAACTTTTTTATAGTGTCGAAAAAATTACAATTTTTTAATTGCTATTTCTTATTATGGTGAATAAAAACAATAATAATACAGAGATCAATAATATTTTCATTTCAACAAATTTCTTAATTCAAGAATAATAAATTTTTCATAAATCGATTCTCCATAACTCATGATAATGATTGTAAATAAAAAAATGAAATTAAAACTAAAACTGTAAAAAGATAAAAACAAGGATACTTCATAAGCAAGTTATTAATATCTTGATTATAACATTAAAAAAATGATTTTATGGTAGTAAAATCAAAAGGCAATTTTAGTGTGTGGTCTATATCACTTTTTATGTACCTTAAAGTTGATTTAAACCATCATTTTTACCCTGGTGTCATACATTATACTTTTTTGTGCATCGATACCAATGCACGCAATCATTGTGCACATACATGACGCCAGTTAAATGTGTTAGTTACTTCATACTCAGGTACATAATTAGTGTGAGACCAACAGGTGAGTTCGAGGACAGCTGCCGTATTGCTTATGCTGCTGCCTTAGCTCTTTTCTTCACCATAAAACCTTATATTCTCCTTCATACTTTTATTAGTATATACAAACTACTAGCTTAGCTTGGCAAAGACTCCAGGTGATTAATTCGAGCGATCTTCATCGATAGAATATTACCAGGTTATGATCGAATTAACTTAATTGCTATTTTAATCGAATTTTGCACATTTTTTTTTATATAATTAGATTCCAAGGCCCATTCTAAGATCGATTACATTAATCCTTATATTGTGCAAGGTTATTAACTGGTCGTTTTAGACATATTCTACAATACAAAAAAATTATGGTACATAGAATAAAATTAATACGTTGGAAGTACAATGACAATCCTGTAAACTTATTTAAGGCTTAATTTAAGTGTACTTTGAATACCATCAAGTTCTAGAGAATTGTCAAAGTTAAGAAGATTACAAGCAAGTTCAGGTAAATTTTAGAGACTGAAATTGCTTTAGGAAATAATTAATCAATTTTTCTGTTGTTAATTGTTAGAAAAATATTTTTTAAATAATTTTAAAATAAAAATTTTCATCACACTTTAACAATTAAGTGTTTTTTAATTAATATGATAATCTTGAATATAATACTTCTATTTTAAAATAAAAATAAATATACATTTTCTTCCGTGATTTTCTTTTAGCCAAGATAACTGCAAAGTTGTTTGTGTAGTACAGGATATCTTTGTCAGACTGGGTTGTGACGAGCAACGCACGACATCACGACACGTGACAGAGAAGAGTTGAATTGTTACTTTATTCTCCTGAGAATCTTTTCCCGACGACAGTAATGTACAAAATAATTAAGATTGTACTTTGTTAATAAAAATAAATTTTATCATAATTTATTCTTCACCAACGATTTAATTAAATTGTTTGTTTTTAATTATATTTATCTATTATGCATCTACTATTTTATAATATTATCATGGTAATTTTAGTTGGAATTTTTTTTTGTGCAAAATACTGCAATACTTTTACTTTAACAGTCCTATGAATTCTAACGAAGCTTTCTGTAATCTTCGTAAGTGTTATTATAATGAGTACCCTTCTCGACATACATGCTTATATATTCTGTATCATTCACATAACATACAATTTACATGATGTGAATTACAGTTATTCAATATCCATGTTACTTTTAACTGCGATATCATCAAGACCTTGAGAAACAAAGTTAAGTCAATAGGCGCGTGGTTGTTAAATAATTAAAGTAAAAAGTTATTGTTACTTTTTAACATTGGAAATAAAATAATAATTATTTGATCATATCTTTATATTATTTTTGGGATAATTATTGTTTTATTATTATAATTTTGCAATCAAAATTTAATTAGAGATAAATCATGCAATTTTAATAGTTGATTTAAAAAAAAGTTTGGAAAATCCAAAAGTGCACGACTCATAATGCTCATTTAATTATGAAATATTAATAAAATAAGAATGTGAAAAAATATTTTATACACTAAGAAAAAAAAATACTTTTATTAAGAAAATTTTCTTGATACAAGAATTTATGTTCTTGAAAATTTTCAAGAATATATATTCTTAACTCAAGAAATTGTTAAATTGATTAAAATTATTTTTACTTAATTTAAATCGACCTATTCTTTTGTTTATCTATTATCCAAAGATAAATATTAATATTCTCCTCCTCAAAAATTAATAATTAATAATAATAGAATATTTTATCGTCAGCGAGTTTTATGAGCCAAGAAATTGTTAATTGAGCAAAAGTATTTTTTTTTTCTCAAAGTACAGGTAAAATAGCACGATAATGCGCAAGGGCTTCTAATGGGATAAATGTACACAATATAATGGTTTTTGTTTTATTTTATTAATTGTACATAAACGACACTGAATTACCTAGCCATTTGCATTCGGTGCCCTACAATTCTTTTAAAGAATTAAAAAAAAATTTAACTCTTTTGTTTTGAGAGTTTCAGGACAGGAAAATTTTTTGACCTATTTTTCAAAAGTGTCAAATTAATCTCCATTAAATTTTCTTGACAATAGTATGTAAAATATATTGATTCTGTGAACAAATAAGACTATAATAATAAAAATAGTTGCCGAAATGAGGCAAAAAAAATTTTTCAATCGTTAAACACTCTCTGATGCTTCGCATCATGAGTCGTGCAATTATAACTGATAATTAATGTCCAAATATTTTTAAAATTCTATACGTATTTTTAGATAATTATATTGAACAATAGTAGACTAATTGTTTGGGTAATAAAAAATAAATAAAACTAAAATCAAATGACTCGATAAAAAATAATGAATTTACATATTTTATACCATGAGTCATGAAAAATAATTTTTGACCGGTATTTCCATCAACAAATTATGAAAAATTGTATTTTTACTCACACTTATTTTTAATAACGACGATTAAAAGTTTAATTGTTTAGAAGTTCTCTGAAACCACTAAATTCTATTTTTTTTGAACTCAGAGGTGGTGGACACTGAGACGGATAGTTTCTATTGGCGATGCAATCAGTGAGACTCAAAGATTTGTCGAAGCACAATTGAATTGAATACAAAAAATATTTTTTCATTTTCTTTAAAAAAAAAAAAAAAAGAGTTAATAAAAATAAAAAAAATTAATTTATTAAAACTTACCGAATCATTCTTGCACCTAACAATTATCTGTTTTCCCAACTGTTTTCTAAAACCTTCAACAATATCCGCTTCTCTATAACTGCTCCCTACATTGATGCTACTATTGTTGAGAATTTGACTAATGTTATATTTTTCAAAAAGCTTGAGCCCTTGGTCAAAATATTTGTATTGAGTGTTCAAAGCTTCAATTGAGCTGGCACAAGAGCCGTGTTTTTCGTATTCATGTTGCCAAAAATGTTCTCCTTCTTTTCTTTCTATGTTGGTCCATTTAGCATTAAGCTCAGAAGTTAGAGTCTTTGTTTCATTGTGATTAAATTTTGTTGAACAGTTGCAACTTTCTGGAGATTCTCCGGCAATCATCGTAGGCCACAGCCCGTGGATAGACCATTTATTATGCATAAATAGATTTTTACAAGACGATTTAGAACTGGCTTTCTGAAAGACGTAACAGGCGGTAGGCAGCCAAGATATTGTTAACACTAGATAATCGAAATTAATTGTAGCATTACTATTTGCTGTCAATTTTGTACATTCTTTCTTCTTCTTCTTCTTCTTCTTGTTTCTCCTGATAATTTATTAATTTATACAATTTTAAGTACTTGATTATCATTGATTTTTCTTAAATTAATTTAAATAATTAAAATTATCTTTGGAAGATTAAAAAACAATTACATACCCTTCAACACTCACTGCGACAATTATTACCAGAAGCATTAAAATTAGTTTTTTAGTATCCATGATATCAATAAGCAAATGTTACTGCTTGGAGAAATCACACTCAACTAAAAAAAATGAATTAAAAAAATACATTTTTTTTATATATGTATCCCTCCTCTAAGAGCTCAATTATAAATACGAGTGCAGAGACCGTGAGCTTTAATTGCTAATAGTAACTAATTTTCTTTGGAAATTGAAATAATGTTGTTTTTCATATTTTTTAACCTTGATTCAAGTGATTAAAAACGGAAAATAACAAATATGCTTTATCATCTTGAAAATATATTTATGAATTGATTAAAAAATAATAAATAGATAGAATTAAGCAGTGGAGTATTAATTAATAATTTTTTTGGTAAAATATTTGGGTTGAAAAATTTTTGATGAAAATGCACCAAAAAAAAAATCCAAAAATTGAAAATATTTTAACGAGTAAATTTTGAGAATGTTTTCATACGTCTCTAAAGCTTGTAATACCTATCTCAAGAATCATAATGACCTTTAAAAAATTTTATTTTGAAAAATTATGAACTTGACAAAAAAAGTTTACAAAATATTTTACACTTTTAGACAATTAAAATTTTATACGTAAATTTTTAGCGATTTCCAAGCAAAATTTTTTACTTACAAAAAACAATAATTTAAATACCGCTTTAATTTCACGAAAAATCAGCATAATTATGATAATTAATCATATGAAGAGAATTGTAAAGGAATATATCGTAATCGGGTAGAAGCAAAGTCTATAAACGTTGACGGCGATGATTACAAAAAACGATTGAAAGCAAAAAATAACTGGGTAGTTACACATGGGTCTTTTTTGTCAGAGGGATATCTCATGGTGTGTATATATGAGATCATCTGATTGCGTGTGACTGAGCGAAAGATTCAATTCTCTCAATTAAGCTTTCACACTTTTTGATGACAAGCGCAGACGATGGGGACGGAGACGGGGAGCGATCTTTTCACACTCAATTAAATATTCTTCTCACTAAAAATCATATCAATGAACTGTAATTATAATTACATTACATCACATTAAAATTAAATTAATAATAATAAAATTACTTATAGCATAAACGGGTTATGTAACGCGAATTAAAATGTAGGACGACTATTAGTAAATGATACGTGTGAAGTGAGGAAAAAATGAGATTTAATCGCATTAGAGGAAGCATAACACCCCTTGTGAAGTATATCTAGCTTGTGTCTGGACAAGATGGCTATTGAACATTGAACTGATCCAAAACATGACAAAACCAGCACTAATTTCACAAACGAATAAATGCTACCCTCCAAAATTGAGGGGGTTGGGGTCGTTTGTCGATTGTCGATTCAACCGACACAAATATGTTGCGTTCTCTCTATCTCCCTTCGCAGGAAAATCCGAGTATGGATAGAGAGAGTGAGAGTTAGACACATCGGGTGTAATGATAGTCAAAAAAAAAGATAAATAGAGACAAAGACACCAAGAATGAGGAAAGAGAAAAGTCGAAAAGGAGAGAAAACGCGAGAACACATGGGGTGATACCGATACACCCTCGTGATATGCCATCGAGATGAGTCAGCTACTAGAGGATGCTCTCCAATCTACCCTCCAAAATTTACCCTAAAATGAGCCTGCAATTTTGTATACCGATATATGTAGATGTTGAACCTCGAGGGAGAGAGAAAAAAGAGAGAGAGAGAGAGAGAGAGAAGAGGTGAAATCTCGATGGCACGTTTGATTTTCAAATGTAAAAATATCACTTCATTCGTTTTGCGTTGAACCAAAGGATTTAACTGCTTTCCGCTATTTGTAATTGAAATTAAATTGTATACGCAGGTATTACACTATTTATTAATATTTTTTTTTTTTAATAATGGGTTACTCAGAATTTTTATTTTTTTTTGTTTCAACACTTTGAACTGTAATGTAATGTATGCAATTTAAATTCTCTTATTTTACCATGTTAATTTTAATTTATTAGAGAATTAAAAAGTTTTAATTTTATTTCTACTAAGGAATAAATTATATGTCGCTGACTGTGTGTTTTTAATTAATTTTTGTTGCCGATAATGTGCGTGTTATTCCAGTTTACCATGTTATTAATTGCATTATAATTAAGTTTACTGATTATCAAAAATTTTGTAGTAATAGAATTTATAGCTTTTCTAAAAATTCAGTTTCTTTCAATCAAACTAAATAAACGTGATTGGAATTTAAATTCTAACCACTTAAAAAAGTTATAAAATCTTTCATCATTTTTCCTGTATTTAAAATATTAAATAATGAATACTATTATCAGAAATTGATACGGGAAAAAATTTTTTTTTTAGAAAAAGATAATTAGATTACAATTTAGATCATTTTTTTTATTAAAGTGTGATTATTCTAAAAATTTAAGGTTGAAGTAAATTATAATTAATTTTTAATTGAATTTATTTGTATGCAATTTCAACTTAACTTTGTTTCAAAATATTATCAACAAAATTGTCAATTGTTTTTTATAGTAGCAAAACATTGCTCTCTATACAATCAAAAAATTTTCCCCTACAATTTCAACTAAATTTTATTAAAAAAAATTCAATTTAACTTTCGTAAAAATAATTTTTAAATAATTTCAAATCATTACTATCACAATGATAAAAAACTAACAGTTCATAAGGAAAAAAAAAATTTATAATTATTTTTTGGGTACTAGAACAGGGGAGGACCCTTTTTGTTAGCATGAACGAATTATTAAGTACCGAAAAAATTCCCTCGATCAGCATGTTTTCGATTGCCAATAACAAATTACAAAATCGCTTAAACTCTCAAGACTTGTCCTCTGTCAAAGCTCCTAAAATTTACTGAAAACTGCCCCGAAAATAAATTCAAATGCCGAGAGTTACATTAGGCGGCGTGACTGTTTCCTGTCATTGAGTTGTAATTAATTTGAGTATCAAGATATTTTTTTGTAATCCAGCACTTGATCCCTGATAATATTCTCGTGAACGATAATAGTTTCTCTGCTGTTGATCACGATTAAAGTTAGTCGTTGCAAATATCAACGGTGGTCGGGTGTCGAAACACCTCGACCAATTATCGAGAAACTGGAATCTCTGACCACCCAGGACTTTCATTTGCTCGTTTCACTGAGCTCCTTCTTTCTCTTATAAATGTTATCAGGACATCTGTTTATCCTTGTCTGGCTTACTTAGCCGGCACAATCGGCTCACAAACGAGGTTCGCGGCTCGAGAGTTAATTAAGGCTGATCCTCCAGCGGCTAAGGACCTTCTGGCTTACGCTTAACGCGCGGTCTGCAAGCTTTACTTGACATTCACATTCACATTCTTATATTTTTATTCTTTCTTCATCTCCATCTCCTTCTCTTTCTTCTTCCTTCTTCTCCCAGCTCTTTTTGATAATGTCCCTCTACTTTATATACATTAACTCTCTTTATCTCCATCTCCCTCCTCCTTCCAGGCTCCTAGCAGCACTTATTTACTTCCCTTGTGGCTCTTGTGGCTCTTGTGGCTCTTTTCTCTTCCTCTTCCCTCTTCTATAAGCGCGGAATAGCGCGGGACTAAGAGTAACGGCAATGGCATTTTCGAATCGTTCAGATGCTTGTACAAGTTGTCCAGCCAGCGCCGCCGTACGACGCCATCAACTCCAAGGCTCCACGGGGATTCCAGTGCACTTGGTGTTTATATACGTGGGTATTAAAGTCCCTCGTATTGAAAAGAAAGATAATTGTCGGCTGAAGAATCTTTAAGGGAATAACCGATCCCAGCCATTTCCCATTCCTAAGAGCACCATCTTCACTTTACGATTAAATAATAACAGAAACCATAATAATCATACTAGTCGACGAGGTGTCGTTCTACAATTCACTCGTCATTAATAAAAATAAAACCTCGGGAAGAAACTGTTTATGTTTGTCTTTCTGTTTTTGCTTATACTTGACTGTAATTTATGCTAATTTATGCTGTAATTTATTTATGCTATATTTACGTCGATTTTATCGATGGAAAAACATCATACTTTGTGAGTAAAGACCAGAGGATAATGTGATGGGTTAAAATTAGCGTTTCAATGGTTGTGGAAAAATTATTTTCGAACCGGAAAAATTTTTTGAGATGTAAAAATAATCAACTGTTTAGTTTTTTAAAAAATTTTTCGAAAATTACCTCAATTTTTCTTATATTTGGTTATGTTTATATTTATTTTCTGCTAGACTTCCACGGAAAAAAATAAATAGTAAGTGCAACATGATGCAGTCTTGGTAAATGAAGTTGATGAAATCATGTTGTAGCCACATGATTTTTTTATGCTACCGCAACATGATTGTCATGTAGCCGAAACTTGGCAAATCATGTTGCTGCCACATGATTTTCTCATGTTACCGATGCAGTCTTGGTAAATGAAGTTGATGAAATCATGTTGTAGCCACATGATTTTTTTATGCTACCGCAACATGATTGTCATGTAGCCGAAACTTGGCAAATCATGTTGCTGCCACATGATTTTCTCATGTTACCGCCACATGATTTCATCATATTCATTTACCAAGACTGCATCTTGTTGCATTTACTATTTATTTTTTTCCGTGTGATTGAAAAGTTCAATTTTTCAACACTTGATGACGCTTTACAAGTACCGGGTTATGAAATACTCTACTTTATCGAACTAGGTTATAAAGTGATACTTTATTGCATAGTTTTGATTTTACTGAAGAAAAGTTTAAAAAATTATGTTAATTTTAATCATTGAAATTAATTAAATAATTACTCTCATGAATTTTTTAATCAAATTAAAATTCAATATTAATCATTGAGAACTAAATACTTATTATTAAAATCAACATTATAAAGAATTATTTAAAGTAAAAATTTTAATGATTCAATAGAGAATTATAAAGTTATGGAAAAAAAAAAACTGTGTTTTGTAAACTAAAAAATATTTTTTTTTCTGTCAATAAATATTAAAATCTTACAAGTTTGAAAGGCAAATAAATATTTTTTGTAACCTCATAAACCTATTCATGGCATCTTCTCC